CCCCAAAACCCCAAAACCCCAAAACCCCTTTTGGGCCTAGGAAGATTGAAAATGTCAAGATTAAGTCTTCATTCCTTTGGGTAGTGATGGTTATCATTCTCATTTGTATTTTTTGAATTGCTTAAAAAATATTTCAAGTTGTCTCTCGATCAGAAGAAAATTACGAAAGTATGAAATTGTCTTTGGCGAACTCTCGATAGTTGTAATTAAACAAGAGGATGTCGATTTTCACTCAGGACGAAAATAAGATGACTCGTCGAAGGATAAATAGTGCACAACCTCAAAATGAAGTAAGAAAGAGAAGTCATAGACCCCAAAGAAACTCTCCTGACTCTCGAGTTCCACAATTAAATGAGTTACATACCTATGGTCACTACACCCCTAATATTCTATCCCCTATCGAATGAAATCATCGGAGCTGGAGAAGATCAGGGTCTGGGTCAGGAATGTTGCAAAGGTTTCCTTCTTCACAAAATCAAACAGGTCTAGAAGATCAACTAGGCCTGCTCTAAATCTCTACGACTGCTACGACACCAATTACCTGCCAATGATAGACTCTAAATACAACAACTACTTAATAAGAAGGAAATTAGTTTTGCTTCTTCTGATAATTTATTAAAATCTTTTTGCCAATACCTCCTTATTATGAACATTGGAATTGTGGAAGTCGTGCCTAAAGTTTAAGTAAAGATATCAAAATCTTTCATCAAGAAACTTTGGTCCACATATAGTGTTTGTTCCAGATCATTACTTAGTGTTTCCTCAAAGATAGAAAATATTTCTGTAGATCCGAGTCAACTCAAGAAGCATGGTGGAAAGAACAAAGTTAGAGCGCTTTGTGGAGTTTGGGATGTTTATCAGACACTAAAGACAACCAAAGCTTTGTAGTCTGAAATTTTAACTTAAGAAAGTCGGTTGCTAATTCAAAAACTAAAAAGGGGCTCAGGCTTTTCAAATATTTTCAATAACGTCTAGCTTAAGACACTCTATTTTGGAATTTTGGCAACAGCATGCTAAGGTACTTAGTTTTGCAATAAAATTTTTAAATTAATTGAACGGTCTGCTTGAAAAATCATTGTGAATAATTCATATTTCAAAAATAATAGTACCTTTAGTATTTAAATAAAGTCATTTTTAGTTGACCAAGACTTTGAAGAATATTCGAAATATTGTTAAGGACCAAGGGCGGCTAAGTCTTGCCCAACAGCAATCAGGAGGTGTCCATCCTTGTTATATAGCAACCTTGGTTTACTTATCATTGATGCTATAATCTTAGCAATATTGAGCTATTTTGCAGCCTCTTTACGTTCAATTTAGAGTTTCACAGCTCATTTAAACTGCTAAACTTATTGAGTCTCAATAGAGGCTATGAAGTTCAGAAAAAATTGAGGATTTCAGTATCATTAAGTCCGAATTTTCAACACTGCGCGATTGGATACTTGCTCAAATGAAAATTTAAAGTATGAATCTTAAAATGTGTTGAGAGTGTTTATTTCATCGAACTGTTTGAACTTAGAAATACTCAAGAGTTAAGGGAAGCATGACTCTGGTTGCCAAGATTTTGGTAGAAAAAGAGGATACAATCTTAGTGAACACCTTGCTCCTACCACCTCCTGAATTTAGATATTTGAGGTTTGGCAAAATTTGAATTTTATTAATATTTTGTGGTAATCATTTATAAATGAAAAATGAATAACATTTTTTCTTAAATTATTTCGTTTAATATCTTTATTTAACTCTGAATAGAATTTAGGAATAGAAATAACTGATGTTTTTACACATTTGGTTAAAAAAAATAGCTACCTGGAATAAAAAGGCTTCCCGCACATTTTTCGATCAAAAGCTGTTTTGCTGCAATTGAGATAGCTATATACAACTCCACTGCTGATAATTAAAAAATTTAATAAATATAATCATCTCATCTCATCCCATCCGTAAGAATTAAGGTTTATAAAAACTGCTAGCTCTTGAATGCCGAAGAAGTTTTAGATATTATCAAAAATGGCATCGAATCAATTTAGTTTATATCAAGCCTTAATCCTGCCACTTCAGGCTCAGCTTGTCAAACAATGTTTTATTTCCTGACTGCTTGATCATCAGTCTCTTAACTTTAAGTACTCCCAGATCCAAAATTCCATAATATTTAGCTACTTCAGTCGAAAGTCTCTTACTCCATGTAGTCATAGGCTCTTGTTTGCTCTTGCAGGATTAACTAGGCCAGTGCCTGCTCTAACTCGGGAGAAGCCGAACAGACCTGTAATGGGCCATAGCTAAACTCAGAAATTAACGGCAGGGCTTAAAACAAGAGGCGAGAGAACAGATTCTATCTCTGCGCTTGAAGGTTTAGTAGTAGTGCTTTTTAAAGACAAGATTGGGGCAAAATTGAGAACTGGAAGCAGCTTTAGGATAACTTGGGACAAAGAGAGGTGTAAAATTGTTTATAGGTTAAGTTTAATAAGTGAGAAGTGTCATTTAGACAGTTCTTTGATGGAGCAAGATTAGTTCAATCTTATAAATATGCAATATGAAGCTCAATAAACTCTCCTCTTGGATTCATTGGCTAGAATAGGTTCACAAAATTTGTTTTTTAGATAATTTATAAAGAAAAACAGCTGGTTCATCCTAATATGGCAATTTAGACTCTCGATTATAGGCAAACAAGAGAGGATAAATTAGGAATTAAAACAAAAGTTGGATTTAGTGGCAATAAACACAAATAACCCTAATACGATAACTTTGAGAATAATTTTAATGGGAAATTGAATACCAAGTTTAAATTTCTTTAGTGTGTTTTATCAATTATTAAGCTCTCTTAAATTAATTCTTTAGAGTTTAAGTTTGATTAAATAACACTTTCTACCAGTCATATTGCTTCTCCATCATCTAATTGGAGGGCATTACTCTTCATATCTCTCATAGATAGAAAATCTACAGACTATCAATGTTGTTTTTAAACTTAATTACCAAGTTTAAATAGCTAAGAAATACAGTTTAAGTCAACCAAACCTAAATGATGTTCGCTTAATTTATTTTTTAAACTGTAGAGTACAAGTCTCTGAAGCGAGAGTTTCAGGTATTTTTATATTATTAGGGATAAAATATAGTCTTACTTGGTTTAAGCGTGTTTTAATTCAGCAAATTCTGAGTGAAACATTAGATAGAACAAAGGTAAGAGTAAGTCTATTAGAGAATTAAGTCGAAATCTATTACTTTCATCTTAAATTTCAATATTCTCCAAGACAAAAGGAAATAAAATGAGATATGATTCAGCAATCTTCCTATTATCAATCAAAACGGATACTCTGGCTAGCTTTCAGAACGATCTATAAAGTTTATATGAATCTGCACTTCTCTAAAATGAGTCTATCCTTAAGTTTAAGCATCAAAAGGTTAAAAGAGAGTTTATTTATAATTTCTTCACTCATTTCCACTAAAAGAAATGTGTTTAAGAGAGAAGTAAGAGTACTCTGGCTACTATCTTTCTCACACCATAAAGCTCATGCATTTGCTAAGAAGACTAGCCAATCTTGTATCTATTTTTGAGTCTCCCATGTTAAATTCCAGATTACTAGCATCTCGCTGATGAGTAACTAAAGGAAACTATTTTGTTTCGAGCAGCAGATTGGCTAAAGTGAGAGTTCATCCATTTCTTAAAATCTCTTTCAAGAACCAAGATGATAACTCGGCAGGAAATATCGTTGTATTGCTTCGCTTAATGAATCAACAATTTTAGAGAATTTAGCAAGAATTATGAATTTCTGATTCAGTAAATTAAGAATCTCAAAGAGGTAGTTCTCCAAATACTATTTTAAAGTTATTTTGTTTTTAGGAGTTTGAAAGCTTTCTGAAAATTTTAGGCAACATTCAGCCATATGTTTGTTACTCTCATGGTGAGTACTAGAAAAAGGATTTAATAAAAATGGGCCTATCAATTCCTTCAAAATTTTGTCAATAAAATGTTTTTGAGCATCCAAAGCCTACTGAGAATATTTAAACAGCTGATTAACCAAAATTATGAAAAGGAGGCTAAGATTAGGAAGAAGGTTTATTGAGAATTATTAACCTTCTACATGAACTGATATAAATCTGATCTGTCTATCTCGGACTCTGACTCATCAATGTTTTTTCTTTTCACTTTCCTCTCATTCTTCTTCATTGTTTCTCTTCTCAACTTGATAGTCTACAATGTATTGGTAAAATATGTGATGAGAGCTAGGTTAAGAAAGACATTTGGCAGAAACAATAAAAAGATGGAAATTCATATGGTCATGAAGAGCCTGTGAAGTACTAAAGCAACCCAAGGTATGTGGGATGCTAAAGCTTACTTTATCGCATTTTAGTGACATAGTCTCATCACTGCTTCTGATTACAACTAAATTTCTCTAAATTGGTTGACAAAGGAAGCTTACTCTTCTAACGTTAGTACACCATAGTTTTATCTGGGCATGAGACAGTCCTGAACATATTGCCAAGTTATTTCAACTCCTGATTCCTCGGGATTGGGCACTCAATGTTGTTCTCAAGCCAAGAGTAAAGAACTTCTTTCTGCTCGAGACTAAAGTTGGCTGGCCTCACTTTATTTTCTAAAATGTTAATTCACAATTTGAGCAATCATTACGATAAGAATTTCTTTGGATACAAATAGAAGTCCAAAGAGTTCTGGCCAAAAGCCAGGCCTCAATTAAAAATACGTTAAATAGCTTACTTTTTCCGCCATTAGCACCTTTCTTGGCTTCTGCTGATTCCTTCAAAGATTCATATTTTATTTGATGGTTAGCATTTGAATCATGACCTCTCTAAGCAAGTGTTAGAATAAAATGTTAGCATTTCATTGGTAAACCCTTAAATTTGATTAGCAAAGTGATTTAATTCCCGAATGCTTAGTTAAACAATGAATTTAATATGAGGGAAGATGAACATGATTGATTAAAAAGAGTAGGTACTCTCAAGAAGCATACAGACATAACTGGCTCGGTATCCAATGCTTTTCTCTTTGAATTATCTGCCTTATGCTTCTCCTCTTCAAGTTGAGGGGTTTCTTTATCTGCAGCAGACAGGTCTTGGCTTAATTGAGCCTAAAATTGTAGTATCAGGCTCGTATAACTCACAATAAAATAGGGAGAAATCAGTAAACTAATTGACAGTTAATATTTTTGGCATGTTTTTACTCTTTATTTCTATTTCTTCTAGGAAATATATAACCCTGAAGCTTAAAGAAACTTCTAAACTATATAGCTCGGCTTACATTATTCTCTCTTGTCGCTTGGGTGTGAAAGTCGAGAGTTAATAGAACTTTCCTCGTTGCCTTATTGATTATCATTGAATAATTTTATAAAATTCTCAAGAAATTAAGTATTTCACTTCACTAATTCCACTAAAAATTCCAGGATTAGTAGACCACCCCATTAATTTTCAGTGCTTCGATGAATCACAAGAGACTTTATTTTGCTTTAAAATTAAATATTTATGAAAAATTAAGCTTCTTTTAGCCCAGAATTGCTTTAAAATACCAGTCTTCCCAAAAATGTCCTAAAAAGTAAGTAATCTTTGCAAAGTTTATGAACATTGATGACAAAGTTCAAATTTTTATGACTCTTAAAAGCTTTGTGCTAGTCAAGCTCAGACTCTTGAAAATATAAAGAAGAAGCATGACTTGTGAGCTTAAGCCTCCTGCCCAAACATAAAAACCTTAATACATTTGTTCTAAATGTACAACTTTTTAATTAAAATTTGTTTGCAAGTTGCTTTAATTTCAAAACTCAACACAGTCAGAATATTTATTAGTCTGGAGATGAGGCTGAAGTCGCAAGTGAAGAATTATGAGACAAATACCTTTCAGAGTCTTTTAAGAAGTAACCTTTACCATCTTTTTATAGTTGAGAAATCTTTTATAATACTTACAAAGGATGCTTAGCCTTATTGCCTCGCCCTTTTAGAGGGTTTAAGCAAGTCACCATGTAAAGATGAAAGAGCAGAGCTAACATTTTTTGAATTTGGTTAGACAATTTAAATAACCTCAGTTTCGTTATGATTACATTTTCAATCAAATCGAAACATCTAGTGTGGTACTTAAAAAAGTTGTAGACCATTATCAGAGAGGAAGACTGCATATATGCTAACATAGTCTTAGTCCTGCTACCTAAGCTGGCAAGCAGCCTTACATCAATTGAGAATAGAATTGAAAAGACTAAACGATGATCTCTAAGAAAAACTTGAAAAATTGACCTTGGTTAGCTAAAAACTCAGAAAGAGGGGATAACCATTGTAAAATGAGCAATAAAAAGTACCATTAAATCTGAGTTATTTGCACTAGAGAAGGCTCTCTTTCAGATACAAGAAGAGACTCTAATAATTTATTTCAGAAAGTTTTTGAAATTTTCTAAAAACCTTAAATATTACCTATTGGCTACTTGATAATAAGGGAGAGTCTATATGGCACCATAAATTCTATACAAAAGCAAATTAGAAGACTTTAATGAAATAAAAATGTTCAGATAGCGTTGTAAGTTTTAGGGGAATACCTTGCTAGCTTCCCAATTCTCCTCCCTACCTAAAATTTTTGAACTTAATCAATGCTAATTTATTCTTACAGAACGAAAGGAGCCTCACAATAAAGATTTCTTAGTCTAGACTTTTCTAAAGGGCTGTTGATATTTACATCGAAATCTGTTGTCTAAATTTAAAGAGTTTTTTAATTAAAATATCTAACCATGGTCGGCACATATAACAGTTTTTACTTTATTATATACACACTGGGCAGTGAAGGTTAATACTTCGTCACCTCATGAAATCAGCTATTTTCATTGATTCCAGGCTTCTTTAAGTCACTAATTTCTTCTAAAAGTGTACTTAAAGAGCTTTATTTATGAAATTATGAGTATTTTCTTCCTAATCACAGTAATTTAGAAGATGGTAATTAGACAAATTCATTATTTATTTGATCACATCAGAGAAATAGGAATCGGATCAACACTTGCCTAAGTAAATCAGCAAGTTTAAGGTCCTTCAGAAAGTCTCATTCTAATATAGAGCTAAGATTGAGAGAGTTTAAGTATTATTAAGTTATGGCTGTTTCTGAAATCTGAGCATATACACATTTAACTTTTATGTAATAGGTGAATCTGGCAAATATGATTGAAACTGAAATATAATACCATCATACTAAAATTTTTCAAGAAGCCGTACTCGTTTGAATTCTTGTTTTAATTTCATGAATTCCTAAGAAAAATTTGCTGTGGTCTTGAGAGCTTCCGCTGCAGCCTGAGAAGATATATAGCAAACCTGAAATGGTATTCTGAATTTCCTCACTTCTTTGTTGATTGAATTTAGAAGCCGTATTTATTTGATATAAATTTAACCTGGGCTACCTTGAACCAAAACACTCTAGAGGATTAATAGTCCTCAATGGCAGAATATTTAATGACTCTTGTTTGTGGCTTCAGGGAACTGATTGCAAATTTCAAAAATTAAAGTCTTATCCAAGATTTTTATGAATTTTTGACATATTTCATAATTCAATAGGGTGAGCACCTGTTGGGGTTTTGGGGTTTTGGGGTTTTGGGG